CGGAGCTGGAACGAGATGGTGATCTGTTGCCACGCTTGACGCTGGAACAGTGCGATGCTGAAGAAGATCATACGCAGGTAGTACGTCGAGCTGACGTTGAAGTAGATCATGCCCATAACCAGACCGATAAGCAGCGCTTCAAGTAGCTTACCCCAAAGTAGCGGTGGGTCTCGCAACCAGATCAACTTCTGCCGGTTCAATAGCAACAACGTGCTTGGGATGAACGCCAGTCCGAACTCCGAGTTCTGCTTCGACCGGGCCAGGTTGGTTACACTCTTGGCCTTCTTGAAATCTTCGGCATTCTCGAACTGGTGCTCATTGAAGCCCTTGCTGATGGCCTCGTGGGTCTTTTTGAAAATGTCCGATTGACAGAACAAATGGTTAAGTTCTTCGGGCGTGACGGGTAGGTTCCTAGTCTCAACGCTACCGTTCGCGTACCGGTGACCACGTCCCGACGTCACTTCGATCAGGAAATCAGCAGGGTCGACGCGTGGTGGACATGTGAAGCCCAGGTTCTCAAAATAGTCGAGGATCTCGGTACGAGGGCCGTGGTAGACCATGTGCCCTTCGTGGACCATGAGAATATCGTCAAACATCTCCACGACTTCGGGGGTCGGTTGCAGTAGTGCCACGATGACGGAGCCACCGAGCGTCTTGCACCACGTACGCATGGACTTGACGATATCGAAGGTGGCAGCACTATCCAGACCCGTGGAGATCTCGTCACACAGGAACAGACTCTGGCCACCGACCAGCACTTCACCGACAGTCACACGCTTACGCTCGCCACCGCTCACACCACGCAGCAGGGCGTCACCGACCACAGTGTCGGCACAGTTCTCCAGACCAAGGATCTGAAGGAACAGCTCCGTGCGGAGAGCAGCGATGTCGCGCATCTCCTCGGGTTGGTCCTCCGGACGGCCGTTCACACACATGTCGGCGAACTTGAACGTCTCGCGCACAGTCAACGTCGGAATGTGATTGTCCGTCTGGTCGACCAGACCGGCCAGTTTGATCAAGTCGATCTCGTCGCCACGCAGACCCGAATACAAGATCTCTCCACCGATCTCCGTCTGCTTGTTATCTTGCAGCTTACCGGCCAGTGCCTTAAGGAACGTCGACTTGCCGGCACCCGGGTTGGCTAGGATCAGAGTCATAGAACCCGGTTTGATGATGCCGGTCATCGGGTGCAGTGCGTGTTTAGTCACCATAGGCACCTTTTGCCACGGTGTGAAGATAGATGCCAAATGAGACCCCACCGTGTTGTGGCCGGCTACACTCGCCGGCACCTGCACCGAGAACGACAGGTCTTGGAAGCGCACCTCGGGAGTTGGTAGCTGTAGGTTGATCTTCCGGGACAGGTGGTTATACTTCTTGTAGAACTTTTCAAGACCACCGTTGAGCATCGCTTCTAAATTGTCGGTGCGTAAGGTACTGTAGTGACTGGTCATAGTATCACCGCCGCGGTGCGAGTACGGGTCTTGTAGACTGCGGAAGTTAAGCGACCGGTACACTTCCGGCACCTCTTCGGTGGCCGCCGGGGCCTCCGGCTGCAGCAGACTGCGCTTGTCATCCGACATGGTCGCTGCCAAGTTTTGAGTCGGTCTCTGTCTTGAGCTTGAGCTAGGAAGAGACCGGCGGGATGCAGAGAAAAAAGCTGAGTGAGACTTTGTTCAGCCCGGCGGTGGTTTATGTATGGGATCAGTAAAACTCCCAACTGGTCGTTACGCTTCTATATGCAGTGTTCACACGTCGCAAGTGGCTGTTAGGGAGGTGCGGCTTTCCTATAGCATAGCTATAGCAATGCCGAACCTCTAGAGGGGGCCGTTATGGAGCAACGGTTCGCCTGCTGCTTAGGTCGATATTCACATGTGGGATAATGGACCGAGCTAGTGAAGTCAACATTGTGCTGGTTTCCCCATACCAACCTCACTGAAACTCGCTGTACTTCTGTAAAGTGGACGCGTCTCAGTAGGCGCAACATTCCGGTCATGCGGTACCGAACCCGTTTGAAAGGGCTAAGATGTCAGAGTACTGCCGGCCGTGACACGCTTGCAAAATGTCTAATGGCGTCTTGTAAAGAATACTCCAGTATTGCTGTACTTCCGCACCCGATAATGAAATTCATACCAGCAGTAAAAAGAAATAGATAGCCAGCCACCTGTATCACATTTTTTTTTGCTTAACAAGTACTTTAAGTAAGTGAGCGACCCCCACGTCACATCGAGATGGAAATCCAATCTCAATCTCTTTTTTTTCTTAAGCTGTACTGGTAGCTTCATCGCTTCAATAGAACCTAAATGGGCACTACTTCCGGTTCCCCCACCGGTCCTGAGGCGGATCACGTATATACACCTGGCGCAGCACACGCGGGGCTGCAAACGCAAATATTGCGGATATCACGTTCTGATTCAGTTCACTGAGCGGACGTGTAGCGTGAGCTGATCTGGTGGATATTCTCTTTTGAATCTTCTGTTCGGGTAACTTGGAACGTCTCGTAATGGCACTAAGGAACGCGATCTTAGTGTCCATCGAGAGCGTGTGCGATCGATTGATAGGCTCCATGTGATGGCGTCTAAAGTCTTCCAGATAGATAAAATGTCCAAATGGCACCACCACATCGAGATATTCCAGATACTTATTGACCGCCAACATGTCCAGAAGAGCTCGTAGTCCAGCTTGAAAGGCGGGACGATTGTTACGGTCTGCCACAATGACGCCCCAAGCTGCCCACTGATCGATCAGATGGACACGCAACCGACGCACACACTTGGCTACTGGGCTGTCTGCAATTACTAGAGTATTGGCGAGTGCAACGATATCGTCCCAATCAAGTGTGAGGTCAGGAATAGGCAAATTTTTGGCATGATACACGCTGAAATTGAACCGGACGTCCATCATATCTCCGCCTCCGAGTGATAATTCCTCCAGATCGGGGCAGTTGCGAACAATTGCGTTCACGTCCATGTCGATACCCGATATATCAATTGTGAGAGACTTTAACGAAGAGCCAATGGCGGCTAATAAATTTGGCAATCCATCCGAGATCGAGTCGGCGTCTCTCTCAAACTCGATCTTGAGGTCCGTCACGCCATGACAAGAGACTGCAAACGTATCATGTCGCGTCAAGTCTGTGCGCTGTACGTAACATCGACCGTAGCCTGGAACGAGAACGTTCACCCACTCACTACTCCCGTCATCACCAAAGATACGAGCTGAGATTATCGGCGTCTGGAATGATAAAGTATGGGAGCCTCTGGGTGGCTGGCCTCGGTTGTTGAGCTTGTTGTGAATCAGAGCGCCCGCCTTTATCGTTGCATCTCTATCATTGAGAATACCTCGACTGCACCCAAATAGTACTTCTTCCGGATGATCGGACGCCAAGATGGACGCAAAGGCTTCAACGTGTGCTACACTCATGCTACCGACCCGAACAAGCGCTAGGGATTCCAACGCTGAGCACGCGCGTGCACGTTTAGAGAACAGAGCGTAGGCAAGCCATTTCCACCAAAGTTGACTAGTTGCAGACTCCTCCGGGTCCATTTCAAGCAGCATCGAGAGTTTCTTGGTACTCTGGTTCACCACCATGGCCGAGCACATTGCCTCAAAGTTGGTCGCAGTCATGGAAGTATCGCACTCCAAGTTAACCGTTCCTAACTGGAGTGGCAACGTATCGTCAATTTCACGAATGTAGCGGCTATTGGCGAGTTCGTAACCGCGTCGAGTATCACCGAAGACAGAGGACATTAACTGGCAGACCACCTTATGTGACCTGTGTTCGTTAGCTTCAAGTTCACGACTCAGGCGGAACCAGAGCGAAACGTGTGAGAACCAGGTATTATCTCGCGTTAATGTTTGCATAGTCTCGGCCAGGTCGGGTGTGATCTTGATATCGTTGAAACTCGCAATCATGGGTTCCAGCACGAAAGTGCACCTCAAACTACACGGCTGTACCTCTCGTTTCTCGCGACTTCGTTCGTACTTATCCCACTCTTCTTTCACTTCCTTTTCAGCTCGCTGGATCTTGTTCAGTGGGCTCAAGTCTTCACATAAATGCATGAAAGAAGCCGGATGCATCACTGAAAAATGCACTCGAACTGGGATTTCAATGTCAATTCCGGGTTTGTTCGGTGTCAAGTGTTTGTCCAAAGCTGCAATCCGCTTTAGCGCTTTTTAAATAAGCGGAACTGGCGTGTTCGCGTTGGTGAACGCCACAAAATCTGGTGATATCATTTATGAGAGACTTGGGATATTTTTTCTCGTCTTGAAGGAAATAGAGCACAAATTCAGCTGGAAGGTCTTCTTCAAAAACTTCTTGTCCCTCGATTCCGAGATGCACATCACAGTGTTCAGCTAGCAGGTATCGCCAGCCTACTTGGTCCACGTGAGCCACAGCTGCCAGTATGGCTAAAGCTTCGCGTACTTTCTGGAAACAGCTTTGAAAATCCTGGTCATTACAATAGAGAGACTGCGGGGCTTCCCAAAATGATTCCGTGACGTCGTGTCGTGTTGGCAGGTACACTTCCAGTCGGCGGCGTTGGATGACCCAGACTTCTTCTTCGCGCAAAGGCCACACGTAGCTGATTCGCCTCTGCAGCACTTGACACCAGGGCTTCAGAAAGTCCCATCGTCGCTTTAAGGCCAGAGACGATGGCGCCATCGTTGCCACCGTTATTTTTTGGTTCCACAATATTTCTTCGAACTGAAGTATTACTTGTTTAAATGGTCGAAGATTTTTTATTATTATTATTATTACGGTCAAGCTGATCTCTCCAACAGTCCTCAGCCCGTGCTGATAGATGTTCGACCCCGACAGCTTTCAGGAGTTCTTAAAATCGAGCGCATTTGTTAGTCCGTCAGCTATCATCCACGATGTTGGGCAGTACTCAAGTCGCCCTTCCCTGGTAGTAACGGCATCTCGAATTTTAAAAAATGCAATCGACTTGATTTTGGGCTTCAAAGGACTTCGTTAGTCAAAAGATTTATCGAAGACTTGTTATCGATCATAGCAGAGACTGTGATGTTGGTGCTCAGATTTAGTAGTCGCTTGACCAACATCATGGTTTATCGAGCTTCTTCCACACCTGCTATAAATTCGGCAATAGTAAGTGACTTCGAGACAACTCGTTGCCGCTTAGTCTGCCAGGAAACAATGCAACCAAATACTTAGACAACAACACCCAATTTTTTCCCACACAAATGCAATTAGATCCAGACGGGTTAGGTGCACGGGCAGCTACCCGATTCACAGCGAAAGAAAAGTCGGGACTTTAAATATAGTAGGGGGCCGACAGTGTGGTGTAGCGGGATCAGCGAAATCCGCGAGATCGCTGGTTCCCTCTTTCCATCTGGCCCACACTACCGACTAACGGAGGGAGTCCCTCTATGATCAGTGATTATGTGCTAAACTTCCCCGCCTTGTGTACATGCCGGAATGGGCAGGATCTTGCTCTTCAGGTAACAACTGAAAAATTCAAGGTGTGGAGGCTTGAACGTCTTGACGAGAGGTGAGGAATGGGGTGGAGCAGAGTGGAAACTCTTCGCTCTGCTGCCGTAGAAGTCCAGATCCTAAGCTATTAGTCGAGCTTAGATCGGACGGCCTGGATCAGGATCTGGCCATGGATTGCCTTGGTTGGGGTGTGTTATCTTGTAGGTCTTCCTTTACACGTATTGTGTCTTTCCAAACTTTCGGCCAATCTGACCTTTAAAGGCTGGTCCTAAGCAAGGGAGGGTAGGGCTAAAGGTGGGATTTGAGGACGAACTGGAGTTGATTTGCTAAGCCAGGCCACTA